TCATTCTGTTACTGAAATTTAATAGGATTTTGTTCTAAAAAATAGCAACTTGTTTCAGGTGCTAGGACTGAACTCAGGGCCTAGTGTACAGTGGCTACAACAAGAGCACACATGATTTGTGTGGGCATGTGGATGTGTGGTGTATGGGAATGAATCCTTGTTGGGACATATGCTACACAAGTGATTTATTATTGAACTCTACTCTCAACTCAAAAGCAGCAGTTTTGAATTTAAAAAAATTGCATCCCACTTCTAGAGCTTCTGCTGCTATGACTACATTTTACCTTTGTAAAGAATGGTAACATACAAAGATCAAATGATAATAGAAATATCATTATAAGACCACACATAAAAATTAACCTGTTACAAAGAATTAAACTTTAATTAGATGAATAAAATTCCTTATACTTCAATTTTTATCTAACAGGAAATATATAAAAATCTCTGAAAGAAGAAAAGTAGAATATTTTAAGTCATTTTTAGATAATATTAATAATCTTCTTTAACTAGAATAGTCTGATAGTGGCCACAATATAATAACTACTACTAATATTTTTTTCATATTTCATTTGGGTAACAACATCTTGCCATGGGCTTCAAATCTGAAGGTATTCATAGCTAAATTCATGATTTGCATTTCTGCCTTTAACCTATATCTTGTGATATCTGTCAGAGTTAACTGTATAGGTGCGTATTATTCTCCTCACCTATAAACTTCACAGAGCGTTCCTGAAAAACACCTTCCCAAGTGTCCCACAAGCCAGTATGCCCTGTCAATTCCATGTCATTTCTTTCCTACCTGGCCAAGCTTGCCTCTATGTTCTCTGAACTTGTTTTATTGTCTCTCAAGTAGACTTATACATAGATTGAACACACTGCTGACCTCATCCCACCAGCTTTCACTTTGGTACAAATACCTATACTACTCTAAGAATTAACTCTATAATGGAGTTGGATGCTTAAGTGGAGAGAGGGATAGGAAAGTAGGGTAGAGGAGGGGCAAAAGAAGGGATAATTAGAACTAAGGATGTTTGGAAAAAGCTATATAGAAACATTGTTTTATAAGCTTCCTAAAAATACATTTTTCATATAAAAGAATTTATTACTTTATATAGGGCATAGTGCTCCTCTAAGAAGCCATAGGTTTCCCAGTGCCAGATATAGGATACCTTTCTTTGGAGTTGTTTGTCAGGGTTATCCAGAAGACACCATAACAACACAGGTTATTGTTACTGCTCTTGGCTGCCCACCAGATAGTGATGGTAAGACTTTATTATAGAAGATGCCTCATACTTTGGTCATGGGACTTGGATAAATCAACTTGATACTAACCAGTATGAAGGCCCACAAAGGTTTCCTAGTGAAAGTTGAGCTTGCTTTACCCAGCAGAGCTACATTAGAGGATTGCTTGACCATGTGCACAGTTTTTAGGTGATTGGAAGGGTCTACACTTGGCTGAGCTGGGGGGAGATCTTTTGCTCCACCCCTTGGTATTACTATAAATATCACTTTAGAAGAGACAGAAGGGGCCAGTGGATAAGGATCCAGGTCCTCCCAAGGTTATCCTGTGTTTCTATCTGTTTCTCACCCCCTCTATCTTCCTATCTAAATCTCTTATGCCTCACTTCTCAAGAGTACCCTGGGGTAAAATGTGGGAACCAGTCTCCAGGCTGGCCTTCCACAAACCAGGGAGCTTCCTCCATGTTGTCTAGCTTTTTCATGGTACCTGAAGGTACTGTGCAATCTGCTGGGGGAGAAAATTCCTCCATCACATTGGCCTGTAGATAAGGCTTTAGGAACATTTTCTTTATTAATAATTGATGTGGGAACACTAGCCAGCTGGAGATGGTGCCACCCCTGGGCAGGAGGTCACAATTTATTTAAAAAGCAAGCTGAACAGGTCATGGAAAGTGAGCAAATAAGTAGTCGTCCTATGCTTCAAATCCTTGAACTTCTGCCCTAACTTCCTTCATGATGGTGTGCAAGCTGCAAAATGAAATAAACTTTTTCCTTCCCATGCTGTTTTTTGGTCATACTATTTATCACAGCAATAGAGAAACAAACTAGGACACTAATTCATGAAAGAAGAACTGAGGGGCTGGGGATTTAGCTCAGTGGTAGAGCGCTTGCCTAGCAAGTGCAAGGCACTGGGTTCAGTCCTCAGCTCTGAAAGAAGAAGAAGGAGGAGGAGGAGGAGGAGGAGGAGGAGGAGGAGGAGGAGGAGGAGGAGGGAACTGAACAGGCATACTACAGAATCACCTGTCAAGTTCTAAGAATAAATTCAGAATCCTGGTTCATCAGAAGAGTTCAGAGAGTTTTTACTGTCATTTCTAAAGAAAAATACACTCTTGTTGGATGTAAATTCTAGTTGGATAAAGCATGGCTTAGATGCTGTGTACAACTACATCCAATCTAAAGATCATGTTTGTTTTCTATATCCTTAGAGAATTCTATTTTTATTTCAGCTATTAAATCATAAAATATTTGAAAAATATAAGCAAGAATTTTAGTATAATGCTATGGTGGTGTCTCCCAAAGGGAGTGGTACTATTGGGAGGTCTGGTCTTGTTGGAAGAAGAGGGTTTTGAAGTTTCATATATGCTCAAGCTTCCCTCAGTGTGACATGGAGTCCACTTCCTGTTGCCTTCTGATCAAGATGTAGCCAGTACCATGTCTGCCTGCACAATACGATGCTCCCCACCATGATGATAATGGATTTAACCTCTGAAACTGTAAGCCACCACCTCAATTAAATGTTTTCCTTTATAAGGGTTGCCATGGTCATGGTGTCTATTCACAACAATAGAAACCCTAAGACAAATGCCATGTTTTCAGTGAATTTTTTACCACATGGTATGTAAATTTGCTCTAATCTCCTTGTAGATCCTTAGACATTCACATGCTTAAGATTCACTCCCTGGAAAGTAAAGGGTTAGTTCTTTTACCTAATTAAAATCTTCCACGGCTAGGGTCATTGGCTGAGCCAAGTGGCATCATGCTTATAATCCCAGCACTCAAGAGACTGAGCCATGGACCAACAAGATAATTAACAAGCAAAAGCACTAGCTCCTAAGTTTGATTATCTGAATTCAATCCCTAGCACCCACATGGTGGAAAGGGTGGTCCAGCTCCCCAGGTTTTCCTCTAGCTCACATATGCACTGTAATACATGCTCCTCATACATACATGACGTAGGCATGAATAAGTAAAAGCATGCATGCATACATACTTACATGTGTGCATACCAAAAAGGCCATAAAAGAAGGTGCAATGAATGAGAAATTTTAAATGAAGTAAACCAGGAAAACCAGTAAGGAATGGAAACATACCCCAAGTGAATCAAGATTATAAAGATACTGCTGTCCCTAGGCTGGAAAAACAAAAATAGTTCTTGGTTCCTGATAGAATTCTGGCTCCTGGAGGAGACTATGTGAGACTATCTGTATCCTTTTAGATGGTTTATGGATTTGTATATAGATACATAAAGTCATACAAATATATAACATGACATGAAAGTAGAAGTAAAACTGGAGATCAAAAAGTACAATTGGGAATGGGAGGAGCAAGAAAAGGGAAAGTCGGAAGATAATTGGATATATATCTTATAAAGTACAAGAACTTCAGAAGTTCACATTCATGTCTCTGATTTACTAAACATAGATCTCTATAAATAACTTGATTACACGTTTACATCATTGGTACATTTTCTACCAAGTTACCCCAGATGCAAAAATTTATTCCTTTAAAGACTCAATTAACTCAGTTAACATATTAACTGAAATAAAATGGATACAATCATATCAATTAATCAAAAGATATAACTTATAGTTAAATATTTCTTGGAAATATTAACAAATAATGAGCAAAAGCCATTTTTTCTGCTTGCAAAATTTTATCATTCCAAACTTGTAGCTCATAATATAACTAATAGTGAGACTTACAGTGCCTTCCCTTTAGACATGTTCATATGCAGGTATGGAGTTCCTAGTCAATGAAATATCTATTTTTTTTTTTCGAGACAGGGTTTCTCTGTGTAGCTTTGCGCCGTTCCTGGATCTCGCTCTGTAGACCAGGCTGGCCTCGAACTTACAAAGATCCGCCTGCCTCTGCCTCCCGAGTGCTGGGATTAAAGGCATGCGCCACCACCACCCGGCGAAATATCTATTTTAAGAATCATATGTTGATTAAAATAATTTTGAAAGCTGAGCTAAAACTGTCTTTCTTCGGAGGTTTTCATTCTTTATGTGTAAAATTCAACAAAATCAATACACAAAACATTGCTATAAGGCAAGTTTACCCAGGTCAGTAAGGTAATTGTCAGATTATTATAAAGCAGAACTAGTGCATTAGGAAATGTAATATCAGCTTATGAATATGGGGAAAGACCCTAGATGCAGCAGTTGTAGTTTTCATACTATGGGCACAGTGGTAAGAGACAAAAGCCCTGCTTTCTTGAAGCATGCATTCCAATGGGAGGGGAGACAGGGTAAATGATAATGAAAAGAAAATATCTGATCCATTTTAGTAACAAAAATTGGGGTATCTAGACAGATCCAACAGAGTATTTGTGTAATTTTGTTGATGAAAATTATGGAATGTTATTAAAAACCACAGCATCTAAATAAGGAACTGTGTTGATTGATGCTTTATAGTGAAGCCAGTTCATCTTAAATGAAATACAACTCCAACCAACATATGGTAAGGGAGACAACAGTAAAATCAGCACGTACAGTTCAAAGGGGCCAATAATGAAAGATTTGGAGAAAGAGTGCACCTTAAGAAATCAAGATTTTGGGGTTGGGGATTTAGCTCAGTGGTAGAGCACTTGCCTAGCAAGCGCAAGGCCCTGGGTTCGGTCCTCAGCTCTGGAAAAAAAAAAAAAAAAAAAAAAAAAAAAAAAAAAAAAAAAGAAATCAAGATTTTATTGATAAAGTAAGTCAGATACTGTTGCTTTAATCAAAGATAAAAAATCAATGGAGTATACTACAAAGTCCAAACTATGTTTGAGCACATTTAACATAAGACTGAGGCCATATAAGAATCCAGGACTGAGACAGAGAGATGGCTCAGCACATACAAAATGTTTGCCACCAAGTCTGACAACCTGAGTTCAGTCCCCAGAATCAAAACAGAAGGAGAGGACAGCCGCACACAGTTGCCCTCTAACCCCTTCATGTGCCATGGTATACACAGGCCCACACATGCACACATGATAATGATAGTAATCAATTTTAAAATTAAGGACACAAGATTTCCCATTATACAAATAGATCCCAGTGAGATACTTATTTACATGGGGGAAAATGACCAGAAGCATCAAATGTTTGTACTCTAAGGACACATTTTATCTATTTGTTTTTTTGTTGTTGTGACCAAATACTTGACAAGAATAAATTAAGAAAGAACAGTTTCTTTTTACTGCAGTTCAAGGGGATGCAGCCCATCATTGTGGGGAAGGCATGGCAGCAAGATGGCAAGGCAGCAGGTAACACAGAAATAGAAGGGATCGGAGAGCAGCCCTATGGTTCAATGACCCTCACATTCAAGGTGGATCTTTCCACTTAAGTGAAACTTTCTGGAGGCATTCTTATAAACATACTCACAGATGTGTTTCCATGGTGAGTCTGAAACTACCCAAACTGATAATAAAGATTAACCACAGCAGGGTAGGAAAAGACTTCTTACAAAAAATATTAAATAAACACAGACAACAAAGGAAAATGCTTGATACATTTGACTTCATTAAAATTACAAGCCTATGCATGACAACAGACATTATAAAAAGGTAAAATGACAAGACCACCTGCCAAGAGAATATTTACAAGATAAAGAAGCTTCAGATCATTCCCACGCAGGATACATAAGCATGCACACCAATCAACATAATAAACAATACTATGGGGGGAAAGTAAATGAGGTAAACTGGCAATTTTCAAATGAAGAAACATGAATGAAGAAAAGATGTTCATATTCACCGTAGTCAGAGAAACTCAAAATAAAATAAAACAACCACCTAATAAAATAATTTAAATATATCCCAATAACAAGTGTAAGTAAAAACAAATCATTAAAAGTACTTGGAGATAAATTTAGTATTGCCCATTAAACTTAAAAATATTGTTTGGGTGGGAGCTCCACTTCAACCCCCAGCACCCTGGCATCCCTATACCCAAAGAGTCTGGAATATTTGGAAGGAGTCTGGTGGAAGATTCACCTCAGCCCCCTTCCCCATCTCTTTCCCTAAACCTGCCCCTTCAAAGCCCTACAAACACAGCTCCTCCCCCAGAGAGGCTCAGGACAACTCCCACAGGGGATGCATAAGTGGTATCCCTGAAAACAGACTTGTGGTTCTTCCACTCTTGTCCCCTTCTCCTCTCTGCAGGGATGGGGAATCACCCAGGAGTGCTTTACTCATTAAACCTGGACTTTTCCTGATTTGGTTTGTTGCAACGGTGGAGAGGCCTCCGGAGGCCTAAAACTTATCATATGTATCACTCATGACAATGGATTTACATTTTATTGTTAGAAAAAAAACTCAGAGCACATAATTGAAAATACTTTCGTGGAGCACTACAGTTTTTAATATTACTTTTATAAAAGGTAAAATCAGAAGATTTACCATGAAATAATAGAATGGGATCTTAAAAACCTTTGAAAATAATAAATAGAGATCAATGAAAGCAACCAATTTAGAGCAAAGCATGAGACTTGCTCCTATAGTCCCAACACTGGGAGAGTGGGACTGGAGGATTGCTGTGTTCAAGGCCAACATGGGACACATGTGGACTGCAGGTTAGTTTAGTCTGGACTACAGAGTCAGATCATATCTCAACAAATAAATCAAAAGCTATTTGGGCAGTCCATGCTAGCCATTTGAAGTTTCGTTTTCACCATTCCCTCCATCTGGAAAAGAAACGAGGCACCATTCTTTTTTTTCTTTAATAATTTTTTTAGATAATAATATAACAATATCAATTCCCTAAAAATCTTCTCTGTGTCTCACTTTCTCTCTTACAAGTTGTAACCAAGATAATAGATAGATAGACAGATAGACAGATGATAGATAGATAGATGATAGATAGATAGATAGATAGATAGATAGATAGATGATAGATAATAGATGATAGACAGATGATACTATAATAAATGATATGCAGATGATTTATAGAAGGTAGATGATAGATTGCTTGATGATAGATGATAATAGATGATAGATAGGTGATAAATACATAGATGTGTATATGTGTGTAGGTGTGTGTATAACATATTCAGTCTATGTAATATTACTTGTACGTATATGTTTTCAAGGCTGATCATCTGGTATGGGATAACCAATTGCTGTGAAATAATCCTTCTGTACACTGTAAATTATGCTGTGATTGGTTTAATAAAGAATCTGAATTACCAATAGCTGGACAGGATAAGGTTAGTTGGGAAAATCAGACTAAGGATACTGGGAAGGAGGCCTGAGTCAGAGTAGTGACCAGGAGATGCAGAGGAAACAAGACATGCTGGAGGACAGGTAAAGACATGAGCCACATGGCAATATGTAGATTAACAGAAATTAGTTAATTTAAATTGTAAGAGCTAGTTGTTAGTAACAAGCCTAAGCTACAGCTGTGCATTTATAATTAATATTAAGTCTCCATGTTGGTTATTTGGAAACTGACAGGCAGCAAAGAAAAGTCTGCCTATAACCAATTGGTGCATTCTTCCCTGGGGAAGACTATTTCTCCTGCTCACAACAATCCTTAGTGGCTTTTAGCTCTTTGTGTAGAGTTGAGGCCTCCTGGGCTTTTCCCTTTCCACATTAGTATGTCTATTGGTACTGTCTTTGTTCAGGTCATGTTTAGGTTGAGATGTTAATGAGACCTCATGTATGTAGATTCTCTGACATTTCTAGGAGATACAATCTCACAACAAACTTCCAGTTCCTCTGCCTTCTATAGTCTTCCCATGCCCTCTTCCACAATGTTCTCTGAGCTTTAGTTATAGGAGTTGTAGATGTATCCATTGGGACTGTGCTTCACAATTCTGCATTTTGATCTGTTGTGGTTTTCTAATAATGGCCTCCATCTGTTGCAAAGAAGGGTTTTCTTGATGAGGAGTAAGAACTAAATGTATCTGTAGGTATAAGATAAATATTTATAGTGTAGTTGGGACTTATTCTGATTATGTAAAGTGGTAGCTGTAGGTTCTCCTCCAATAGCTTCACTAGCCCTGAGTGGTTGGCTACGCTTCCAATAGTAGGCATGATTTCTCTTTTGTTGAGTGAGCCTCAAGTCCAATTAGAAATCTGTTGCTCGCTGCCAAGGCATGTTTGCCACTACTGCACCTGTAGGTTTATTGTGCTGTGGGGGTTGTTGTGGTCACAGGCATCATAGATTGGTAAGACTATAGGTTGCTACCCTCCTTTGGAAGCTTGCATGGTGCCTTCTAGACCATGAAAGCTAGTTCTCAGATTATACATAATTTTCTTCTTCTGTTTGTGGACACCCAGCTTTCCTAGCACTATTTCTCTTCAGTGTATGTTTTTGGCATCTTTTTTGAATACCAAATGGCTGAAACTATGTGTACTCATGTTTTGTCTCAGCCGGCACAGCTGTGGGCATCACGGGAACCTGGAAAAGAAGACAGTACTAGACAAAGACGTAAGACTCTGGGTTTAATTGAAGAATGAACTTTTTTTTATTTTTCCCACTACTGTTTATATATTGTCTTTCTGGCTCCTAGAGATTGCATTTCAAGCAAAACTCCAGCAAACAGTTATCTTTAACCCCCTTATTGGAGTTCCTTCTTCTGCACTTCTCTGCCTTTGTGACCTTGTTTTGCCCCTGGAGACATTTCTCTGAGTCTTTATTTTGTGCCTGGGTCCGTGTATGTCCCTGAGAAAGAACCACAAATCATCTGGGTCCCCAACAATGTTTGATATTAGATTTTGTTTCATTGGTCGACATGTCTGTTTTTGTGCCAGTTCCATAGTTTTTATTACTACAGCTCTGTAATGTATCTTGAGATCTGGAATGATAATACCTCCAGGATTGTTTTGGGGTTTTTTTGTTATTATTGCTGTTGCTTTGTTTGTTTTGCTCAGGATTAGATATCTAAAGTCCCTCAGGTTTCCATAAAAATTTTAGGATAGTTATTTCTATTTCTGTGAAGAATAAGACGGGGATTTTCATTGGGGTTGCATTGAATCTGTAAAAGGCTTTTGGTAGAATTGCTCAAAAACCACTCAGTGAGTCTGTGCATCTCAGATATATGGATAGTGATAAAAACCAAACTGTCTGAGGTCAGCCATCCATGTGTTGTTCTGCTCTTGTTCACCTCAAACAAGTTACTGAACTTCTCAGAGCCTTGGTTTCCTTTTCTGTAAAATTAGGACAACAATAATCATGCTTAAAAGCAGCCAGTGGTGTTTTTGCCCATAATATCCAACCAGGAAATATGAACTATGTATCACTCCTCATTCCCAACAGTAAGGACTAGAAGATCTGAGTTAGATGCATATTTACATTGTCTCAAATACACAGAACAGAATGAATCATGGCTGCCCTCTGTCCCCTGCTGGTGATAAATTACAGAAGTGATTTAGGTCGGTTTGTGTCTTATCTTTAGTCTTCAACTACAAAATAAGTAAATGAGCAAAGATAAACTGGAAAAACACTGTAACACTCACCACTTTTACTGTCGTTATGTTTGTCTTTATATTTTAAGTGTATGGTGTGTGAGTGTGTGCGTGCATGTGTGTGAGAGTGTGTGTATATGTATGTGTGTGTATGTGTAGGTTTATATGTGTGAGTGTGTGTGTGTACTTGTGTGTGTGTATGTATGTGTGTGTGAGTGTGTGTATGTATGTCTGTGAGTGTGTGTGTATGTGTGTATGTATGTGTGTGTGAGTGTGTGTATGTAAATGTGTGTATGTATGTGTGAGTGTGTGTATGTAAATGTATGTATGTGTGTGAGTGTGTGTGTATGTATGTGTGTATGTATGTATGTGTGTATGTATGTGTGTGAGTGTTTGTGTGAGTGTGTGTGAGTGTGTGTGTATATGTATGTGTGTGTGTAGGTTTGTGTGTGAGTGTGTATATATGTGTGTGTGAGTGTATATATGTATGTCTGTGAGTGTGTGTGCGTGTGTGTATGTATGTGTGTGTGAGTGTGTGTGTATGTAAATGTGTGTATGTATGTATGTGTGTGAGTGTGTATGTATGTGTGTAAGTGTGTGTGTGAGTGTGTGTGTGTGTGTGTGTGTGTGTGTGTGTGTGTGTGTAGGTTTGTGCACATGAATGAAGTGCCAGAAAGGGACATTGGATCCTTAAAGCTTCAGTTACAAGTGGTTGTGAGCTGTCTGGTGTGGTGCTAGTAGTCAAACCCCAATCCTTTGCAAGAAAAGCAAACACACAACCACTAAGCCATCTCTCCAGAATTATAATTTGACTCTTGAAAAATCAAAGACTTACTGAAGGTATCTATAAGTAGTATTTTTTTCTTTGCAGTGCTGGGAATCAAACTCAGAGCCTCATCCATACTAGACAAGCACTCAACCACTGAGCTAAAAACTCAAACCCTTGTTAATTTTTTAGTTCATTTGTGTTTTGGCTTTTGGGGTGGGGTTTTACTCTGTATTCCACGTGGGCTTGGAATTCACCATCTGTGCACAGGCTTCACTGAAACTCATAGGACCCTTCAATCTCCCAAGTACCTATAACACAGGCCTGACCACTAACGGTAACATACAGAAACAGTTAAAGCACACATTTGAAACATCAATGGCAGATGAGAAACCTGAAAGAACTAGAGGTCTGTCAACATAATGTCTCTATTTAACAAGGAGAAAACAGAAGGTCAAGTGGAAAAGCCATACCTGTGTCTCATCCTGGTTGATGGCAGGTCAGGTTTTCACGGGGCATAGGCTTTGTCATAGTGATCTTAGGAGCTGTGGTGTATCATGCATGACAAATGAATATGTGAGGGAGAGGAAGGAAGATGGAGAAGCGAAATGTTTTTCTTTTTTTCTTTTCTTTTCTTTTTGGGGAAGAGGCTACAAGGGGGGAGGAGGCTACAAGGGTGGAGGATGGACATAGAAGGACTGGGAAACTAGTGGGATTAAGGTATATGGTGTGAAATTCCTAAAATGAAAAGAATTATGTTAACTGAAAAAGACAGAAATAATCACTACATATAAGAAAACCCAGCATAATCCTTTGGAGAATGAGATCTAAACCAGAACTGCCAGGATGAAATTGGTGGCCATCTTTCTGGGTTGAGAGAAATGTTCCTTATTAGCAGGGTCCTGGAGTCATGCTGGTGGCATGTTGGTGACATCTGGAGTTTCCTGAAAGAACATGAAAACAGCTGGGCTGGACAGTCCCCAAGGGCCACCACTGCTGAAGCCCTGCCTCTGGAAGAGGAACACAAGCTTGCACCGGTGTCTCAGAGTCCTATGGTCTCCTGCCCAGACAATGACACAGTGTAGTTTCAGTCTGATATTCTTGAAATGTGCTCAGCATTTTTTAGGGATGGAGAGAAGTGTGTTTGCTATTAATAAAAGCCAAACACTGTTTTCTTTAAAAAAATAATAATATGATTATAGAAAATATACCAGAAATCTGAGCACAGTGGCACATGCCTGTCATCCCAACACTGGGGAGGCTGAAGCAGGGATCCAAAGTTCAAGGTCAGCCTGGACTATGTGTCAAGACCTTGGCTTAAAAACAAAACAACAAAAACAAAGAAAGGAGAGGAGAGGGAGGAAGAGTGAGAGCAAAAGATGGAGAGTAAATACACCACAAAAGCAGAAAAAAGTGTCATATACTGATAATGATTTGTGGAACTATGACGCTGTCTTTAACAAACCTTTGTCATATGTTTAAAGGTAAATTTAGTCATAGTAACTGTAAATAATGAATTGGAGCAAACAATGAGACAAGCAGCACCAACCATGGAAGGGGCTAGGGTGGGCAGCTTTCATAAAGAGTTCCTAAACTTGTAGCTGGAGTTTTCTCCAGTCTTGCCTGGCCCACAGTCAGGACAAATCTCTCTCACCTGCCAGTTCTGCAGCCGCTTAGACCCAACCGAGTAAACACACAGAGACTTATATTGTTTACAAACTGTATGGCCGCCACAGGCTTCTTGTTATCTAGTTCTTATATCTTAAATTAACCCATTTTTATTAGTCTATAAGTTGCCACGTGGCTCATAGCTTATCAGTACCTTATATCTTGTTTTTTTCATGGCGGTGGCTTGAAGCGTCTCTCTGGCTCAGCATTCCTGTTCCCAGAAAAAAAAAAGCATCATTATTTAAAATGGAAACGTAACTTTTTTGTCCTGGTTTGAGGCTGGTTGGTGGTTTCTGAGTAAGACAGCCTCAGCTTCACATTCCTAGAATTTAAGTTCAATTCCTGCTCTGAATTGGTTTCAGCTTGGTTAGGAAGGGCTCAGGGTAGTAGAACCCCTTAGTCTAATGCCCTCTAATTAATTTTAATAAGAGCTAGACTGAGAAAACTGTAGAGTTTATATTTGATTAATATGATGCTTTCCCTTCAAAATGTATTTCCATAAAAATTATTTTTTGAGTTCCATGTAATTACATACTTACTAAAACTGAACAATCAAAATAACAAACAAGGGCTTAGGGTCCTCAATATTTTCATACATTTTCTAAGTTAAACCAGTAGGTGAAGGATTTTTGTATTTGCTCAAAATCCTTTGTTTAAAATAATTAAAAACATAAGTTTGATTTATATATTTTCAGAAATTTAAATCATTCCAACTGTCAGGCTACTTATAAAGAAATTGTTAGACTATTTTAAAAGTCAAAATTAATGAAGTCACTGAAATATCTCCCAAAAATATAAAATAAGCTACTTAAAGTCACTACTCATAATATACTTAAAATATCATTGTAAAAAATAATAGAAATTTTTAACATGCTTCTAAAAATAAAATCTTACCTTAAAATAAATTTTCTCAAAATACAATTGACCAGAAATCTAATCATGGTAGCCACCAAGTGGACAAAGCCTGGTATTGCATCTCAGTCTGTTCACACGAGCCTTGTCTACTGTGGACGTCATGAAAAAATGTATCTAAGAGTTTAGTAATTAAATAATACACCTTATGTAATTAACACATAAGGTCCTCCTTACTAGCTATCCTCCCTGGAGCTGTGGGTTGCAGTCTGGTTATTCTTTGCTTTACATCTAGTATCCACTTATGAGTGAGTGCATACCATGTCTGTCCTTCTGAGTCTGGGTTACCTCACTCAGGATGATATTTTCTAGTTCCATCCATTTGCCTGCAAACCTCATGATGTCATTGTTTTTCTCTGCTGAGTAGTACTCCATTGTGTATATGTACCACATTTTCTTTATCCATTCTTCAGTTGAGGGGCATCTAGGTTGTTTCCAGGTTCTGACTATTATAAATAATGCTGCTATGAACATAGTTGAGCATGTGTCCTTGTGGTATGATTGAGCATTCTTTGGGTATATGCCCAAGAGTGGTATAGCTGGGTCTTGAGAAAGATTGATTCCCAATTTTCTGTGAAACTGCCATACTGATTTCCAAAGTGGCTGTACAAGTTTGCATTCCCACCAACAGTATAGAAGTGTTCCCCTTGCTCCACATCTTCTCCAACATAAGCTGTCTTCAGTGTTTTTGATCTTAGCCATTCTGACAGATGTAAGATGGTATCTCAGAGTCATTCTGATTTGCATTTCCCTGATGACTAAGGATGTTGAGCAATTCCTTAAATGTCTTTTGGCTATTTGAGATTCTTCTGTTGAGAATTCTCTATTTAGCTCTTGTGGTGGTATTGTATTTCCCCCAAAATATTGTGCACCCTAATAAACATATCTGGGGTCAGAGAACAAGACAGTCACAATATTAAACATAGAGGATAGGCAGTGGTAGCACACACCTTTAATCCCAGCATTCCAGAGGCAGAGATCCCTCTGGATCTCTGTGAGTTCAAGGCCACATTGGAAACAGCCAGGCATGATGACACACGCCTTTAATCCCAAGAAGTGAGCCTTTAACCCCAGGGAGTGATGGCAAAAACAGAAAGATATATAAGGCATGGAGACCAGAAACTAGAAGTGTTTGGCTGGTTAAGCTTTTGGCTGGTTAAGCTTTTAGGCTTTTGAGCACCAGTTCAGCTGAGACCCATTTTGGATAAGGACTTAGAGGCTTCCAGTGTGAGGAAACAGGATCAGCTGAGGAACTGGCAAGGTGAGGTAGCTGTGGCTTGTTCTACTTCTCTGATCTTCCCGCATTCACCCCAGACCATTTAAGATTCATGCTACAAGCTTTGGAGTCCAATTGATGAGAGAGAGGAGGTATTCTATGAGCAAGAGATATTGAGACCATGATTGGAAAAAGTACAGAGACAACTAGCCAAATTAGTGGAAACACATGAACTGTGGACCAATAGCTGAGGAGCCCTCATGGTACTGGATTAGGCCTCTGGATAAGCAAGACAATTGTTTAGCTTGAACTGTTCATGGGGCCCCCAGGCAGTGGGATCAGGACCTGTCCCTAGTACATGAGCTGGCTTTTTGGGGCCTAGTGCCTATGGCGAGATACTTTACTCAGCCTTGGTGCAGGGAGGAGGGGCTTGGACCTGCCTCAACTGAATGAACCAGACTCTGCTGACTTCCCATGGAAGACCTTGCCTTGGAGGAGGTGGGAATGGGGGGTGGGTTGGGGGGGAAGGCAGGGGGGTGGGAGGAGGGAGGACAGGGGAATCTGTGGTTGGTATGTAAAATGAATAGAAAGTCTCTTAATAAAAAAAAGAAAAAAACTTTTAAATAAAAAAGAAAGAAGCCTAAAAAATTACATTATGATTCATAACAGTAGCAAAATTTCAGTTATGAAGTAGCAACAAAAATAATTTTATGGTTTGGAATCATCACAGCATGAGGAATTGTATTAAAGGGTCACAACATCAGGAAGGTTGAGAATCGCTGCTTTAAATCAATTGAATAAATATTAAATCAATTTAAAGACAAACAGGTAAATGTCAATCCTTAATCCTATAATAATTTCCAATATTCATAATTATTAAATTATTAAAAAGAAACAATAACACACAAGTTCACAAATTCTGTAGACATTGAAATATCCTACATTAAAGAGAATGCCTGTGCTTTCCTTTGCACACACAGCATTAAACATGGTATAAAATACATACAACACAAAATAGGGTGACAAGTGCATCCCAACTGTATCCATCCAGATGGGCCTCAAGGGAGCAAGTCCTGTCTGGCCCAGGAAGTAGATCTCCATGTCCAGAAGAATAATCACACTGACAACAACATCCGATATCTAATAGTGTTTCTAAGCATTTCATACAAATGAATTGATTAGTCTTCATAATAAGCAACTGTGGTGGACTTGATAATGTCCAACAAATGATATCAAATCCTCAGTCCTGGACCTTGTAAATGTTATGTTATGAGGATAAAGAGTCTTTGCAGATGTGATTAAAGCACCTGATATGGTGAAGTTACCCCACATGGAACTACATGTAATCAAAACTGTCTCTACAGGAGAAGGGCAAAAGGAGATTAGACATACAGAGAAGAAAAGAAACACAGAAAGGAAGGTGACAGACGGCAAAGGCAGAGGCTTGTCCCTTGCTTCCAGTCATCCTCCAATTATTGAAAAGTGGAGTTCTAATCAGTACTGGACAGAATAAAATAATAATGTTGGTTTATAGAGTATTCCCTTTGATTGCCAATAACTTCACATTATTTTATGTAACTTATTTACACAATACCCAAATTCTTTCTTTGATACTAGACAAATTTTTTCCATTGGTTTCTTTAATAAAATGTAGTTATTATGAAATCATCAGATAAAAACTAATTTGCTTCACACTGCTATAATTTCTCCTCAGTAATAAAGGGTTGCACCATGCCACTAGATAAATAATCAAAATAATCTTGGGTGTTTGTTAAAGACAAAGAAAATATAGGGTGGGCAAGGAATATCAGCTATGACCACATGACCATTCACAGAATAAGAACTATAATTGTCATAATTTTGCTATAAATGTGTGCATATATACATATATTAAGCAAGTATCTTTGTTTTCCCTTATTTTTATCATATAACAAAGGATACTGGTGTTATATTGGTATTTAATTTCTACTAACTTTTCATTATAATGCCTAAGTTGCCGACTATTGGGAGAAGAGCCAACATGATTAGAGGATTTCTCTAATCACTTTCTCTACTAGGGAAGTGTAGCTGGAATTTTCTCCAGTCCCTCCTAGGCCTGTAGCCATTCAGACCCAACACTTGGAAGGCTGGGGCAAGAGAATCAAGAGCTCAAGGCCAACCTAGGCTACATAGTGAGTTCTAGGCTTATATGAAATACATGATATCCTGTATCAAAAACAAACAAGCAAAAATACATTTGCATTTGGATTATTAGACTGAGTAAATAATATCTGCCCTCATTAGTGTGGGAAACAACATTCTAATCATTGAAAGATGCCAGAGAAAACAAAAAGATAGAGGAAATTCCTCTCTTCTTGACCTGAGATGTCCATCTTCACCTGGCCATATATATCAGTACTCCTGATTCTCTGACTGTTACAGTCTGCCCACAGCTTTTGCCATGATCTCCTCCAGTTTGGACTGAAATCATGTCATGGACTCTCTGCCTTATTCTCTGTTGTGGCAGACATAACATTTCTTAGCCAATATAGTACTGTGAATCAGTCCAGCATATGACATTTATTTCTGTCTATCATCTTTCTATTGTATATCTGTCTGTCTGTCTACCTTTTCATCTATCTTTTTTGTCTATATGTCTCTCTACCACCTTCCTTTTTATTTATTTGTTTATCTTTCTTTCTATCCACCCATCTATCTTCTATTGCTTCTGTCACCCATCTATCTTCTATTGCTTCTGTGTTCCTAGGAAGCCTTGACCAATATATTTACAAATACAAAAAATAAAGCAAACTTTTTTATCTTTATTGTATGTTTTCATTACACTGGAATAATTAAAATAGACTACAGAAATGCTTACGATGTTATCTTCTCATATTGTCCCAGTTAATCTTTTCTTTTTCTTAAAATTTAATATAAATGTTCTTCTAAGCACTATAACATGTTAAAGTGATATAATGCACTAGAATTTCCAATTCATACTTTCTAGGTAAAACTTTCCTTAAATTTCTATGAAAAAGGGAAGGAAGGAAGGAAGGAAGGAAGGAAGGAAGGAAGGAAGGAAGGAAAAAGGAAAGGAAGGAAGG